CTTAATTTGAAATGTCCGCCCCGTAACATCCATGTATGCTCATTCCACTTTGTGGACAGACAACCATCGACAGAAAATCCATATCCCGAACTTTGGCTTGGATATGATCGTCCATTAAGAAAGACGAGAAGACGACGAACGTGTCCGGACGAAGGTGAGATTATTCATTAACGTTACGTTATTTACACGGCTAGCGTGCTATTAGGTTTGCGCAATTAAATGAAATGCAGCTTATGATACAGTCTTTTCAGTATGTCTGGACGACCAAGTTCTTATGATGTGTGCTTAAACATCTTTAAGAAACCAGCATTTCATTCAGCATTTAAGTATATCTATTACGTATAATAAATATATATAAACAAAATGTTGTTGCAGTATTTTCACTGTCTGATTCAAATAGGATAATCACAAGTGAAGTCTGATTTATTTAACATCTCTATAGAATCGGCTCTTTAAGTGAATTATTCTGACTCGTGTGTTATGTTGGTTTTATTCAGCGTGATTAATCTTTTATAAGAGTCTGACTTTAATTCAGATTTGAATACTCCACTTTGAGAGTGCCAACGTTAAATCCAAGATTCTTTGTTTTTACTCTGTTCCCCTTTAGTCAAAGCGGTCTGAGTTTGTTCTTGTAAAGTGTTTACCCAAGTGTGCACACTCTCTTAAATATTGACTAAATATTTTGGCAGCAGAGTGTGGTCTGTGATCATTTTACCAGCTGCAACAGTATAGGACCTTAAGGCCTGGTTTTACAGACAGGGCATAGACTAAACCTGGTTTAGGCCATAGTTCAATTTATTTTTCATAAACGTGCCTTAGAAAACACATTACTTGTGTGCATCTTGAGACAAAACAAAGGCACTGATATATTTTAAGATCAGTCAGTGCAAGTTTCTTTCAGTTGACACAGCTCAGACTAACATTTTAGTCTGGGACTAGGCTTAAGCCTTGTCTGTGAAACCGGGGGGTAAATGTTCACCATATTGCAGCTCAAATCACAACATTTAACAAAATAATACATAAAGGTTTTGTTCATTAACTCATTTTGGTTTACAAAATGTGGAAAGTCAGCATTCTGTCTTTCATACAATGAAAATTAAAAGTGTATTAGTGCTAAAGTAAAAATACCAAGAGCACCCTGGAATGGATGAACTGAGACCTGTAGAAGAAAGTCTTGCATCTGTCCCCAGTCCCAAGCAATCAGATGTTGATGACCACAGCTGTACATCTAAAAATGTTGCCTCTGTTGGAACACAGTGGGAAGACCACATCTTCGAGGAGCATTGTTACATCAAGAGACAACACATTGTAACTTATGTAAACCAGTCAACGCAGTGCGATACATTCAAGCCTCCTACTCTGATGAACGACTATGACTCAAATCTGTACACCGGGCTCCCTCTCCACACATTTCATACCCTTGTAGCTGTTTTGCGTCCCCATGAGAATCTGGCTTACCAGACCGAAATTGAACAGCAAATCTTGCTCACACTAATGAAGCTGAAATTAAACCTATTAATAGAAGATCTAGCAATTCGATTCCGTATATCAGTGAGTAAAGTGAGCAGGATAATTTCTTTTTGGATTGACACCATGGCTGCAGTCTTGAAGGATCTGATACCATGGCTCCCCAAAGAAACCATCAGGGCCACAACACCAGAGGCATACAAGCAACATTATCCCAATGTTACCTGTATCTTAGACTGCAGTGAAAGTGAAGTCCAAAGACCAGGGAACCTAGACTCAAGGTCTGAATCGTACAGCCACTACTATGCTTGCAACACTATCAAGTATTTAGTGGCTATTGCACCATGTGGTCTAGTAATGTTTATATCTGCAGCATATGGGGGACGCTGTAGTGACAAATTTATCACATGTGATTCTGGCATTCTTGAATATCTCCATCCAGGAGATGAAGTGATGGTGTACAGGGGTTTTTTGATTAGAGACTTGTTGTTTGAAAGACAAGTCAATATGATAATTCCTCACTTCGCCAACAAAACGCAGCTGACAGAAGAAAAAGTCACATGTAGCCGCAGGATTGCAAATGTAAGGATACATGTTGAATGTGCAATTAGGAGACTGAAAGTATACAAGGTGTTATCACAAACCTTGCCTATCACCCTTATGGCAAAGATAGATCAAATTCTGCATATATGTGCAGCTTTAGTGAATTTGCGTGGTGATCTGATCTGTGAAGCAGATAATTAAGTTATTTTAAAAATGAAATTTTGTCTTCAGTTACTCACCCTCATGTTGGTCCAAACCTATATGAGTTTTTTTTTTCTTCTATTGAACACAAAAGATTATTTATTTTGGAGAATGTTGGTAACCAGACAGTTGATGGTAGCCAATGATTCCATAGTCATTTCTTTTTTTTCAATGGTTACTGTCAGCTGTCTGGTTACCAACATTCTCCAAAATAAATAATCTTTTGTGTT